CTGCTGAAGCTAGCTGGACCATGATTTTCACTCTGGGGCCTTACCGTTCTACCTGGACAGGAGGAAGAGGATGTCTTTTTTGTAGGAACTCAGTGTTATTCAATGGGATTCACCCTGTGGGGCAGGAGATGGCTTGCAATAGAGGTGGAAAGTTTAGGATCTTGAATTTATGTATGTTAATACACACTCATACTGTACATAGCAGCATGCACATAGAGGAGAGGACATAGAACACCTCCCTCTCGTTTGAGCTGTGGCTGTACCGTGCATTTGTACAGTTCTGAAGAGATCTATGCCAACAATTTTACGTGTTCGATAAATGCATTCAGATGCTAAGATCAAGAAGTTTTGTTCACTTGCCTCTGCCCTTCATGCTGCTTTTCTCTGCTGCAAGATAATGTGGTGGTGATTTTATTTCAAATTAATGGATCTGAATATGAAATGGCCCTGCTAAAAGCCTGCTGTGTTTTGCTGTTCTTTACTTTTTTTTTTTTTTGTGATTATCTTTAATGCAAATGGAGAGGGCACCACAGTGAACACTCCAATACGTTTGCCCTTATCTTGCTGTTTTATAACTGACTTTTGTAACGGCTCTCAGCATGTGCTTGAAGTCAACTCATCCACCTTTAAGTGGAGGACATATATAGCAGTGAAAATGAATTGAACAGTCAGCCTAGCCCGTGCTGAAACCTTTTGAAGAGAACTGCAAACAACAATAACGTAAAAGGGAACTTTTTAAGCCAAAGTCTGTATATGACTAGTTGATCTTCAAGGGTGCACAAGATTATCTCTTTCCATTGCCTTAGCCTCTAAGATTAAGGGTGGGTCTGCACAGCAGTAACAGCTGAGGCTTCCTTCAAGCTAGTTAACTGAGAAACTGCAACAGTTCAGTCATAGTAACAGAATTCAATTTTGGCTGCAAAACACAATTGAAAAGTCGGATTAATTAACAGTCTATGCTGGGCTCCTAATGCCATAGCTTCTGGCATGTTGCTTCTGGCACCCAAACTAGGTCAGGTACTTCAAGTTATTCTACTCTACTCTCATTAAGGACAAGATAGTCGCAGAAGATTGTTCAGGCTAGTTGAACCAAACACAGTAAACCTTTGAAACCTCAGTCGTCCATCACATCACATTGAGCACAGCATCCAAGTGATGAGAAAACCAGGTAGCTGACAACACCGCAACGAGGTCTGCGGCTGAACATCCTGTCTATGCTGTCCACCCTCTTGATCATAACATTTCATTCTTTATCTGCCGTTGCCTTGGATCTTCACGTGTCAAAGTCCGTGGGTAGCAAGTCACTAATGAGCAAATGTTCTTAAGGACAGCATTGAGCTTGATGTGTTTTCCCCCTCAACTTCTTAAAAAGTCGATTTTACATGTAGGCAGAAGGCAGTACTGGTGTAATTAATAAAATGTGTATTTGAAAGCTATGGAAAGGAGGAAGCTGGTTAGGAAATAGAAAGGAGAGATATAATTAATTTCACTGTAAAATAAGCAAGACCAAGAGCATCTGGATTTTAAAGTGGATCTTTATCCACTCACCACTATGGACTTTTTAAATCTCTCCTAAGGATGCTTAGAACAAAGAAATGAAGGTAATGGGGGTTTGTGGAGGTCTTTGAGGTCTGAAACAAGAGGAAGACACCCTGAATGTAATGGTTATGTTGAACTGTGATATTTGCTAAGTGATAAAAGAAGCAAAAATGCAACAAAACACATTTATGCTGACAGAGGTCCTGTATTTTATTGGAGGGAGGAAATCAAACACGTTTTTAAAAATGAATATTTTAATTAAAATATGCTGAATGTGCAAAGTAGGTGGCTGTTGGTGACCACTTGCTAGCAGGAGACAAATTTGTGTTTCATTTAGACATAGTACAGCACCTGTGTCTGAAACATAACATAGCTGATGAATTACTAATAGTTGGGCATATGTGTTTTCCAAGAACTGTGCAAAAATTGTGCAAAACTTCATATG